TAGCCATGTTGATCTAAGGACATAGGCAGACAAGGTTCTTTGGGTAAATCTGATATCTTTTATTAGACTAACTAAATAGTTGGAAAAATTCTTCTTAGCAAGCTTTCGGATATAAATACCCTTCTTCAGGCTCAGGAAACATCTGCAGTTGGTGTGCGCTCTTCCTGGAGGGAGTTGGTGGAAGAGCACAAACCAACTGCAAATGCTTTCTCAGCCTGGTGAATGGTATTTATACCTGAAAGCTTGATAAGAAGAATTTGTCCAACTATTTGAGTTGGTCTAATAAAAGATATTATAATTTTACAGGTATAGACTCTAATTATTGAAGATGTGCCTCAAATTTTGTTTCCTTCCCACTGCTATAGCAGGGAAAATAAGTCTGGGGTTTTAGGTGCCCCCTTGTCCTCTGCCCCTACAACTTCTTCCCCCTACATTACCTCCCCTCCTTTACTGTCAGACCCTGCTCTCCCTAAGCACATGGAAATGAGGGGCAAATTTGAAAACGCTGTCTTTGAAATAAATATGCCTGTAGTAATTTAGTTCCTCTAGAGTTAATGCATGTTACCTTTTTTGAGACTCTTGCAAGTTTTAGCACAGGTAAAAGTATATTTACCATTTTAGTAAATATACTTAATATTACCATTTTAGTAAATATACTTTTAAAGCCGCACTTTTGTATCTATTTATATATAGTGAAACCTATGCATGATATTAGTCCAAAGTCAAAAGGCTCACGATTTACCATATAGTTCACTGCCCTGGGCCTCAGCAGAGTCAACAGTGTTTCAGATTATGGTAACCCTATAGTTCAACACTGCTCATTATCTGTGTGTACTCCAGGTACCCCCTACATGTATGTTTGGGGCCATATTTGGTGATGTTTGCCAGACATTTAAGGCTGGTGAAGAGACAGAAATAATTGGGAAAGAAAGTCATAGCTCAGCTGTGGGAGTGAAGAGGAAGTTGAAATGTGTTCAGTGTAGTAGCTCACTATGACTTGAAACAGACAGTGCTGAGGGGGACTGCGCGCAATGTGCACCACCTTGTTCAGATGGGCTATACTTGCCTATCCTTGTAGTAGGTTCCCATCAGGAAATACCATGACCATGAAGGTGGCAGGGGGCAGTACTCTAACCAAGTAGGTGCCTTACAAGTGGCTTTGTGTAGTGGAAGGTGCACCCTTGTCTGCTTGCAGACGGGACTCCCTACGAGAGCCTCATAGTTAGCTACCCACTGCTCAGCTTCCAATGGGAGGATCTTGGCTACACACGGACTTTATGGAAATGGGAGACTCCTCCCTAGCTTGCTCCTGCTGCCATATGGCTGAGGGCAAGTGAAGCTCAAGGGCACCCAAACCCCAAGACTCTGGGCTTGGGTCTGCATGTAGGATGTCTGCCAAAAGATTTGGAAGCATCTAAAGCCCCAGGCTGGGGTGGAGGATACTTGCTGGTAGCAGGGCCACATATGGTTTTTGGATGGTTAAAATGGATATGGACCTGATCTGGCTAATTTGACCCGAGCAAGAAAAAAGTTCCTTTAAAAAAAAAAAAAAAAAAAGAAAGTAGGTTCCCATCAGTATGTTTGCTTGATATGGTCTTGTTCAGTATTGGCTGCATTTAATCAACTTCACAGTTTCTTTCCTTTACTAAGCACATGCTGCTTTTGGTCGCAGTTTAGAAAGACAATGTATTTAATGAAGTTTCTTTGTATGCAAATGTAAGACCAGGGTACTTTATTCCCCATGCTAATTAGTGGGAAAAACCTCCTCATATGTTCAAGTAAATACAGTATATGTTCATACAGGACTTAGCCATTCAGGAACAGTTATTCCAGAGTATTTCAGTAAATATCCAAGTTTAGACAAGCATTCACACTTAAATTCCTGGCTGCTTTTTCTGCTGTGTTCTCTGTTGCTGTTTCTCTTACTGTGAGCAGTCAAAGGAGGGGACTGTCAGAATCAACAGAGCAGATGGTGTTAAATCATCAGTATACATCTCCTCTGATAGTCAGTCCTCTGAAATTTTAACGTTCTTTGTCAATTAACAGTTGGATTAGATTATCAGAATGACAGAGGGGCAGAATTATTTAGGAAGCAATAAAAAAAAATCTGATCTGAAAGTTTCAGTCTTTCTTCTCTTTGTGAAGAGAAGTATGAACCAATACTCCCAATGTATTGGTTCATCCCTGGATCACTAGAATATCATTTTTGGCCATGACGCCAGCTGTGTTCCCATCTCAGAATCATTCAGAATGTATAAACCGCAGCGATCATCTTCCAGGATTGCCATTCTGATACCATTGTCTGTCTCTGTTCTTCCGCTGCATCAAACCCAAGTTCCTTGTCTTTGTTTTTAAGGCTGTCCACCATGTAGCCTTACTCTATCATACCTATTAAATTATTGTACTCTTGGCACACACCAGCCATTGTTCTGCCAATGAAGCAACTTATATAGTTAACTTTCCTGCTTCTCCTGGAAGCACCTCTTGCTTTCTCTTGTGCCATTTGCTATTCATGGGAAAAACTCATCAGAATTTGGAAAGTTGCCTTTTTCCACTTTTTCGTGCTGTATCTGATTCTCTTAGATAGTTCCTTCAGATAGAAAAAGTGTCTGTAAACAGAGAATATATGTTCTGGAGACTATTGCTATTGTGGCTGATCAGTGGTATCCTTGGAATAAATCAGTCATTTAAGAAAGAAACTTTTGGAAATGGAATTATGTTTTAATTTGATGTTTTATGGAAAAGTGTTTCTATTCGTTATTTAAAATTCCGTAAAGATATGGGCACATCTTACCTACACTTTTAGAAGCCCACCTGCTAGATTATTTTTAAGCTATCAAATTTTCAAAACAGTTTTTAATTTAACATTATACATCTTGCTTATTTATTGTTCTGGCTTGTATGTGCAGATAATCTTTCCCATATAATGTTCTTTCCCATATAAGTATTGCAAAAACAATTTCACACAGATTCACAGAAGTTTAGGGCTGGCAGAAACAACTTTTTTCTTGTACAAACTAGACACAATACTTGCTGTTTAATACAACTTGGTACAACTTTATTTTTATGAAACTCTTCTCCAAAACTATTGCTTTACGTCAATTCCTTCTGCTGGAACTCTCAATTATCATACCTTTAGTTGTTGCTCCTCTCCATGTTACAAAAAAAAAAAAGTAAAATTTCATAACTTAAATTAAAATATTCTGTTGTCTAGTCTGGTCAAGCCCTGAAGACTATACATGCTTAGTTGACATCACGGCAAGTCAAGGAAATTAACAATCTTTAAAGACCAGCTGTTTCTTGCTATTTCTGGCTGCTTTCCTTAGGAGAATTTCAGTTTTGGCAGCGTAATAGACAAAAACACTATTGTTCTGGGATGTTGTTTCTGTTAACTGTTTGCTTCTTCTGTATTCCTGTAGTGGAATATTAGTTAATGTTCATTTTTTTGTTAGATGTACAGCATTGTAGATCCTCTTGTGCTCTGGGTTATTTGAGTTTTCACTGGAAATAACATTTTAAGGAGGCAATTCTTTTCCATCGCTCCACCATTTGCTCAGAGCATCTTTTTTTTTTTCCCCCCTTAGATCCGTTGACAAACCTTGGTCTTAAAATTATGCCAAAGCACTGCACTTCATGTATATCAAGAGGCATTCTAGACAGGAAAGACTGAAAATCCCTCTTCAGAATCCCACTGGCTCTCTTACTACTTATAACATGCAGTATTGATGCAACACTTCATTTTTCAAAGCTACATGCATTTGTTAACTTTGCCTACAACACCATGTGACTTACAAGGAAAGAAGCTGAGTCTCACTGTAATCTTGAGCAAATAATTTAACTGCAAAGGGATATGCTGGCAAAACATATTAGAACTGTAGAATTCTTAACCTCCAAACTTGCACTAAATCCACTAGCTAGTGCTGTAGTAAAATGAAGCAGTGACTCTTGAGCAATATGAGGCACTCCTGTTAATCCATTCTCTGAGGCAAAGTATTGTCAATCCAGAACATTATTATTGGACCATTAAGTCAGACCTTGAGTCATTTTAATCTTTTTTGGTGTCTTACCATTGTAGGATAATTTTTTTGTATCAGACTTCTGGTTACATAAAAAAAAAAACCCTGGATTGCTCAAGGGTGTTTATTTCTTTTAATGCATTAAAGTAGTCTGACTATCAATATTTCTTCTTAAAAACAAGTATATCATGTCTTCAAAAAGTCTCAGACCAAAGAGCATGATATTTCATTTTCTGAAAATGTAACATGTTTTAACTGTAATAATAGTTTTGGTCAACATTTATCAGAAACATAACTTGAATAAATCTAAAATTATAGCCTTCTGTTTCCCCCAGCGAAGACATTTTATAATTGTATTTTGTCTCCAAACAGACTTTGAAAAAAAATGTTAAATAGGAAATTTTTAAAAAATAAAACATTTAAAGTAATGATCAAAAACATTTTATGCTTAACGTCTAGTACTAACTAACTTTATTTTGCACATTTCATTACTTCTGTGACTTTATTCAGCTTATATATCTTAAAGAAAAAAAAAGTTAGAAGGACTCTTTCTTCACACTTCTGAAGTGTACTTTCTGAGCCACAGTGTTTAAAAGCATGCATAATTCATGTTTGTTCTAGCTCTGATACTTCGTGTATGCTTTGTTTTTACAAAAGTAAAATAACTCTGATCGCATAATTGTGAATCTTTTTAGGATGTTTGTATAATTATTTTCCTTGTAATTAAGGCAGGCAGACATTTTTATTCTCCACAGTGCCTAATTGAACAAACAAAATATACTCTGCTTTTATACATCATGGAATTAATGTGCAGTTGACTTCCTGAGTCTTTGGATTGTTGTCATTAGAAACTTGTGGAGGAGGAATTGGAAAAAAACTGTGTGGGGTATATAAAAATTTCTGTCATTTCAAATGTGAATCATATTGCATTTTTCAAACCTTATCAGCTTTTGTTCTTTCTAATATTAGCATTTTTTTCTTTAGTCACCTTTCCGCACCTTGCAGGTTCTGCTCCTTCATGGCCTAGTCTTGTGGAAACCAGCAAGCAGTGGGATTATTATGCACGAAGGGAGAAAGAAAGGGAGCGAGAGCGAGAGAGAGACCGAGAAAGGGACCGGGATCGGGATCGGGATAGGGAACGAGATCGGACCAGAGAGAGAGAGAGGGACCGAGATCATAGTCCAACTCCAAGTGTGTTCAACAGGTTAGTATAAATACTTGGCTGCAATAGTCAAGACGTACATTTTTTGTGCATATCAAATAATGTGCGTTAGCATTTAAAGTCTTAGTGTGCAGCTAGATATTCTTAAGGGACAGGAAGGTGTGGTTCTCCTTCCTCTTTGTTTTCTGTTGGGAACTATACCAAAAAATTTCAGATGTAAAATAGAAGTGTCAAATTTTTTATTTGAAGTGCAGAAAGCATCACAAAAGGATTTAGGGTTTATGCTTGACCTCCTTAGTTCCACAAACATTCGTAGAAGTATTAAATGAATCTTGGTTCTATCACTGTTACTTTGTAATTGGAATTCCTAATTCTCTGCCAAAAGCAATGTCCTGCAACAATTGACCCTAATTTGAAGCAGTGGTGGTACTGGCTACTAAAAGGGGGTTAGTTTTTTTGGTGGATTTTGTGATTAGTTCAGGATGAATAATGCTGTGCCTTTGCTATTTATTTGTTAATAAATTTTATAACAGGTTTTACTCTTAAGGTCAAAAACATTTTTTGTTTCCAAACTGCTAACTTTTATTGGGATTTTGACTCTAACAGTTTTTATTTTTAAGTGATTAAACTCAGATTCTGTTGAGACATTTGGTTTGTTTATGTGTAAAAACATAGAATGTATCAGGTTGAACTGGTGTGACAAGAACATGCCAGATGTCTGCGGGCTTGCCAAGGTTACATATATTTACTTTTTTTTGAGGAAGTTTGCTCATGCATTTCTAGTGCTTGTAAATTATTTTGCGGTAAATCATGTAACTTCAGTTAATTTTATTTTTTTCACTTTCAAATTTACCGTGTGTGCGCATATGAGAGAGAGCACACAAGAGTGAGCACATGCTATTAAAGATGATTTGGGAGCTATCACTCTAATTGTCTTATGTTGTGGAATGTGAGAAGAACACCAGGAGTCAGTGTTACCTTAGTTCAGACAGTTTGGCAGTGTTTTCTGTTAACTTTATCTATTGATACAGGCAGAAAAAAAAAAAGAATTGTGAAAGGCCCAAATTAGGTGCAAGAAATCTTTTTTAATTTCGTGCAGACACTGACATTGTGGCGGTGATGTCCTGTACTATGTGTATGTTTTATATTACAAATTACAAGGTCAGTTTTTAAGAACTTAAGACCAGTTTAAACATCTGTTTCTCAGGCAGCTTGAGTGAAGGCCAGAAAGAAGACTGGTCATTCAAGGGTGCTTGAAATGAGCCTTAATGGCTTCCAGGCCTGGAGAAGTCTCTCTGCTTCTGCCAGAGTTATCAGTTAGGGAGGGGGAAGAGGAGACTTCATCTTTTTTTATGTGACTAAATTATCCACCATCTGCAGCAAAGCTACTGCCACATGGCTGTGTAAGAAACCAAGAGGCCCTTAACTTGTTAAAAAAACAAGTTGGCTTGTGAATAACAGAGAAGGTAGGAGAAGACTTAATGAAGACAGACCATGCAGACACAACAGTGTTGGGGGGGTTTTAAGGTTTATTTACAATTTCATTCAGTTTTTAAAAATGAAACCACCTATAGGGAGGAGGAGAAGAGGATGAACTATTTCAGGAAGCACAAAGATGTGTTTCTTTTATTTTAGGGACAAAGTACTTACCTGTGGTGTCATAGAGAAATAGGGCTAGAAGGGACCTCCAGAAGTCATCTAGTCCAACCCCCTGCTTGAGGCAGGATCATCCATATCCAAACTATTCCATACAACCATAATCTAAACCAGGGGTAGGCAATCCCTGGTATGGGTGCCAGAGTGTGGCACACAAAGGCATTTTACTTGGTACACGGACAGCGGGAAAGGGGCTGGAGCTGCACTGCCACAACAAGGATTTGGGTCCCTTGCAGCTCTTGTGCTATATGCCCCTGGCATGCTAACATCTTACAGTTTGAGGTTGCAGGTGTTTTTGGCATTCTGCCCAAAAACATTGCTGACCTTTGATCTAAGCTGTACATAAGACTACCCTCAACCCTGACACAGAATAGGTCTAACACCCTAACCTACCACAAGTAAAGCAGGGTAACCACAGCAGCCAATGTCCTGCTTTTTTAAGATGTTGTCAGTATAAACTTAAGAAGTCCCAGGCAGAGGGCCCCCCCCCCCCCCCACACACACACACACACACACACAACAAAGGAAGGAAAAATTAACACAATTCATGTTGCTCCGACCATGGGATAAAATTCCTTCCTGACCCCAAATATGGCACTTGGTCTGACCCTAAGTGGAGGGACAAGACCCTGTAGTTAGGAACCCTCTTTCTTTGCTCCTAGCAGGACAGTCGGCACACCCCAGCTGAAGTCCCCAGCCTCAGCTGTAGCCAACACCCAGTGCCTCTCGGAAGGCTTAAAAACACCCTGACACACATAGCAGAAAAAAAATCAGGGGCGGGGCACAACCAGTAAAACCCAGAAGCATGGGAAATACCCATAGTAGAACATAGGCATAGCTACACCTAAATCATCCCCAACCAGTGGCTGTCCAACCTCTTCTTCAACATCTCCACTGATGAAGAGTCCACAGTTTCCCTTAGCAGTCTATTCCACTGCCTTGTTATTCTCACAGTGAAGAAGTTATTCTAAATTTACTTTGCTGCAACTTCAATCCATTAGTCCATGTCTTTATGCAGCAAGAGACAAAAGGTTCTTTCTCTCTTTTATGGCAGCCCTTCAGGTATTTGAAGACAGCTATTATGGCCCCTCTTAAGCAATGTTCCCTCTAAGGAGCAGCAGTCCATGAGCGTGCTGCCTTGGTCCGTGAGCGCATCGCCTCGGTCTGGTGCCAGAGGCTGGAGCTGGGGGCTGTTGGCTGGGGCCGGGGGCTGGAGCTGGGAGCCAGGTGCCGGGGGCTGGGGCCAGGGGCCGGAGGCCAGGAGCCGGAGCTGGAGGCTGAGGGCTGAAGCCGGGGCTGGAGGCTGGAGCCAGGAGCCTGGTGCGGGCTCCTCCGGCTCCGGGGAAGTGCTCCGCTGCCCCACATCAGGGCCGGGGAGTGGAGCACTTCCCTGGAGCTGGCTCCGGGACACTGCTCCACTCCCCAGGCCTGATGCCATGTGCCTCCTCGCTCCCTGAGGTGATGCAGGGGGGGCAGCCGGCAGAGCCTCACTGGGGCAGGAAGCGGCTCCTCTGAGGTGAGGCAAGTCTGGAATGAAAGCTGGAGCAGGGAGCTGGTGTGGACTCCGTCGGCTCCGGGGACGTGCTCCACTCCCTGGCCCTGATGGGTGGGAGTGGAGCACTTCCTCGGAGCCGGCAGAACCTGCGCCAGGCTCCCGCCCCAGTCTCTCCTGGTGTGCGGCCTTGAAAAGGCTGTGCGCGGCCACACTTCTAGTTTTGTGCAGCCGTGCATGTGCGCACCTTAGAAGGAACCTTGATCTTAAGTGCCTTTTCTGCAAGCTGAACATGCCTAGCTCCTTCAGCCTGTCCTCATATGACTTGCCTTACAAGCCCCTTATTTGCCCACCTCTAGGACCTCTCTAACTTCTCCACATCCTTTTTAAAAATTTGAAGCCCAGAACTACACACACTACTCCAGATGAGGCCTAACCAGTGCCAAGTAGAGGTACTGTCACCTTCCATGCAGCATTTCCTCTAAGCTGTGTGGCATGCTTGGCTGCACAGGCACACCTGGCAGTGCAGCATGAGTGCGCCTGCGTGGCTGCACACACCACACAACCTGCAGGACCAGCCATTTGCGCCATGGCCTGGGCTAAACACCCCCCCCCCCCACCCCACACCGACACCCGCGCC